CCTCAGTCCTCACATAGATCTTCTTACAGATCGAGGACTCCGACATACGACCATACGTTAGAGGAGGACGATGGTATCATTTTCTCAGAGGCTGAGATAAGGTATTGGATGGTAAACGAATTACAACTGGCCTCCCCTTCTAAGAACGAGGATACAGCCCAAACTTACCTGATGAAAGATGATGATGTAGATCATATCACCGTGCCTCCTATGGATCCTATCGCAGCCGTTCCTGCTATACTGGATACAGCCTACTCCAAATCTGCTAAAACCCAACTTACCCATTTACTGTTTTTCAATGCCAAGAGTTTTTATGGACATAATATGGAGCCCTTTTTCAAGACTCAGGAGATTGATGAAAACTTTAAACTTATCAGTGATTCCAAGTCCAGAAGTTATAGGGTAGACGATCGCAAGATGGCCCAGTTAGATACCATTTCCAGAAGGATGTTCTTCGGACTTAATAGATCTAGGACTATTAACGAGACTCTCATCACCAAGTTCAAGTACTCTATGGATGAGGAGGGCAGGATGATCTATTCAGCTCTACTTATGCAGAAAAAAGATCAACAATTCCTCACAGACCATCTTTCAGCACTTACTGAAACTACTACCATGACACGTCGGCAAGGATTACTAGCCTCCTGCTCTTGGAATAAACAATTCACAGAGCCCCTGTACACAGCTCCATGGTCTTCACCCTTACTGTTTGGTGGCAACATTAACAAGGTCTCCAAGGAAGTATCTAAAGATTCTAGAGAAGTACTCATGATTAAATCTATGGATACGTTAGCGAACGTCTTTAAACAATCAGCACAGAGGTTCTCAGGCAAGTCTAAGTTTTCAGGGCTACAGAGAGCACTGGATAAGCAATTAGCGGCCGTTAATAATCACAAGGATTCTTTTCGTCGCCCGTACAACAAGTTCAGAGGAGGATCAGCTAGAGGCAGATCATCCAGAGGTGCCCGTGGATTTAAACGATGAAAGTCAGGTTCGGAACGACTGGAGTCTTCCACCCCCAGTCGTCCCAGTACAACCTTCTCAAGTGGGTGGACGTCTACAACTACACTGGGAAAACTGGGGAATACTTCAAGATCCGTATGTATCCAACATCCTTCAGTACGGATATCGTCTACAACTCAAGGCCAAGCCACCGTTAGCAGTCAACCCACCAGGGTTCAACGTTCATCTGGCACAACTACCGATGTTAAGAGAAACAGTTCAGTCTCTACTAAACAAACAGGCCTTAGAAGTTCTCGATCAGCGAAACATCATACCAGGTTTCTACTCCCCAGTTTTCCTAGTGCCGAAAAAGAATTCCAAAGAGAATTATCGTCTCATTTACAACATGAGCACATTCAACAGAGAATTTCTATGCAAACCACCAGCGTTTCGCATGATACATTTACCTCAACTCCGTCATCTAATTCGTCCACTAGATTACATGGCAGGACGCATACCTACACATTCTGATTCATCCCAGTTCAAGGATATATCTGAGATTTATGCTAGACGGCATACACTACCAATGGAAAGTACTTCCCTTCGGAATCACTTCGGCCCCATGGATATTCACAAGAGTAACCAAGCCTATTGTCTCATACCTACATCGTCAAGGCCTGCGGAGTGCATTTTACCTAGACGACGGTATACAGGTGGATCCAGATCCACAGCGTCTCAGACTACAGCTGAACTTTACAATCAAGCTACTAACGCAGTTAGGCTGGTTAGTAAATCTACTCAAGTCGGACCTAGAGCCCACGCAGGATCTGCAATTTCTAGGTATACGATTCCTTACAGCTCAGAATCGTATTGTAGTCCCGGAGAACAGATGGATCAAGATCCAACAACTGATCCCCCAAGCCCTACTCTCTCCGTTACCACTACGACAGTGGCAGAGTCTACTGGGACTACTCACATCAGCTCAAGACTTGACACTCAGAGGCAGGCTTCAATTGCGTCCATTACAAGTCCTCATCAATGCCCATCTCGAGGACCCTCTACCGTTCAGTCTACCAGATTACGTCAAACGACATCTACTCTGGTGGACCAAGAGATTGAATGTTGCGCAGGCGCCTCCTTAGTAGAGCCGAATCGAAAACACATCTCTACGTGGACGCGTCACTAAAAGGTTGGGGAGCCCACCTTACCGGCAGGACAGCGTCAGGCCTATGGAGCATTCAAGAGAGCTTATGTCACATAAATCTGCTAGAGATGCAAGCAGTCATAAACGCCATAGTCACTGGAGCAACCTGTTACAGAACGCTCAGTTAATGATTCACACAGACAACTCAACAGTGGCGTTTTATGTGAACAAACAAGGGTCAACAAGATCGCTAAATCTACTCACTCGATGTTTCAGACTGTTCGATTTAGTCGACAGTCTAAACATTCGTATCAAAGCCTGCCACATTCCAGGAGCAAAGAATGTGTTAGCAGACGCTCTCTCTGGGACGCACCAACCATCGCCGACAGAATGGATGCTCCACACAGAGATATTCAATCAGATAATCATGGAAATAGGATCTCCTCTGATAGACCTATTTGCCACCCGATTCAACAATCAACTGACAACCTTCATATCGCCAGTGCCAGATCCATTAGCTTGGGCAACGGACGCACTAAGCATATCGTGGGAGGGACTAAACGCGTACGCTTTCCTGCCTCCTGCGTTAATCCCACAAGTCTTGCTAAAAATCAGTCAAACGAAGAGCCTCGATCTGATTTTGGTCTCGCCTTACTGGCCAGCGAGAACTTGGTTTCCAGACCTGATACTAGGAATCAGAAAACCAGTACTTCAGCTCCCACTACGCTCCAATCTACTGATACATCCGCACACCAAACAAGTGCACAAAACACCAGAAGCATTCCGACTTCACGTGTGGATTGTATCAAGGCATGTTTGAATAAGAGAGGTTATTCCACCAGAGCGGCGAAGGCGGTCACGCTTGCACTACGTAACTCTAATCGGAACTTGTACGATGACAAATGGCTCAGATTTGTCAATTATGCTGCTAAGAAAGGATTTTCAGACAGATTTGCTACACATCCTCAAGTGGCAGATTTCTTATGTTTCTTACGTCAAACTAAGAATCTAAAAGGATCTACACTGTCCACTTATCTTGCAGCCATAAGTTCAGTCATTACTATGAGAACGGGCGTCAAATTGACTAAAACACCGGAGTTACTCGCTTTGTTACGTGCCTTTCGATTGGAAGACCAGAAACGAAAGTTTCAAGCGCCAGCCTGGGATCTAAATGTTGTACTTCAACACCTCACAAGTGAGGCTTACGAGCCATTGTTATCTGCGTCATATGAATCATTGACCCACAAAACCTTATTCCTGCTAGCGTTAGCCACTGCCGCCAGGATGTCTGAAATTCACGCTTTGGATTACGAGAGAACACGTTTTGATGATATTCATAACATCGCTCATCTGGGACTTCGCTGGGATTTTATAGCTTAAAAATCAACTACCAGGTCAACCAGACAGGTTGTTCCATGTCCCAGCTCTCTCATCCATACTTGGACCGCGGGATACGATGGACTTATCACTTTGCCCTGTAATGCACTGAAAATATATCTCCAAAGATCCAAGCAAAGTAGAGGGAAATTCAAAAGATTGTTTATCCCTATATCTACCGCCTCACAGACAGAAGTGTCACAAGACTACCATTTCTATTTGGATCAGAACTGTCATACTAAGAGCCTACAAGGCAGCTGGACTGGACCCTCCAAGTGCTGCTAATCCCTACTTAAATTAGAGCAATAGCTTCAACTTTGGCTTTACATGGAAATTGCTCATTGAATACCATTATGGAGGGATGTTTTTGGAGATCCAACATGGTGTTTGCCAACCACTATCTGAGAGATATCACCACCAAGGACGTCTCAGGTATCCACCATTTCGGGTCCCATGGTCCTCAAGCTCAACAGTTGACAGTTCCACGGAGAAGATAAGTCTATCTTGTTGATTTTATACTTATCTGATAACAGTACTAATAGCTACATGCTATCTATATATATTTGCTTAAGTTAAAATATTATCTTAAGCTCAGTACTATGATTTATATCATAATATATATATACCTACAACTCTTACGAGTTTCTACTATTATATATATGTTCAGCTTAAGTTTCTATCCTTAAGCACAGTCATATGTTTTTTTCATAACATGTATAAGTTAACAAACTCTCAGTAGTTGGTTACTATTATACAGCTTAAGTTATCATTATACCTTAACCACAATTCTGTTATAGCTTATATATATGCATATTGTAAGCTTACTATTTTGGTTCTTATAAAAGTATTCATTATAAACTATCAGCAGTTTATACGATCACATTAATAGCTTTAGCTTAATTAATGTTCTATATACTTTTATTATATTCAGTAAATTGTAATAACCTTCTTTAAAGGCAGCTGTTAAATTAACAGCAGGAATTCAGTTCAGTGCCTTCATGAAGTTCCCATAGGGTTATTACAATCATCTCAGTTCAAATCACTAATTATTAAAATCCAAAGTACATATAATCCCACCTCCTAATCCGTAGGATTCTACAAGCAAATAAGCATGAGTCAGGATAAGAAAAATATGAAATTTTTAAAGTAAAATTAATATTTTTATACTTATCCTGACTCATGAGGTAAGCCCTCCCGTCCTCCCCACTTAACACTTTGGATTTCTCGGGAAAAATAAAGTGTTGGGCTCAAAACAAAAAAGGAGAGAGTGAGGCACATGGGCTTGGGTGGCGCCCTCGTTCCCAGCTTGTGGAAGGGAGGTAACTCGTGGTGAGTACTAAAGAGTGATTTTTTATTGAAGGGAACTTCAATTGGGAGATACAAGTGTTCCACTAGGTTCGCCAGAAGAAGACAAATAAATAAGACAAGCAAATAAGCATGAGTCAGGATAAGTATAAAGATATTCATTTTACTCTAAAAATTTCATTTTTACTTTAAAAATTACATTTTGGTTGATTTCTCCTGCGTATGTTGCCAGGCCCCCTGGGGTGGAGGTTGGGACTTGTCCCCCTGTTGGAGACAGCCTGGCTCACTTCTTCTCCAGCTGCGTCACACAGCTGAAGTGTAAGGAGAGACAAGGTAAGATGCTGGTAAATAAGAATGAGACTTTATGCCAATATGAAAAATCTGAAACAAAGTTACTTGACCAGTTGGGGAAGTATCAAGAGTTATAATATTCCAAAATGTTATGTATATTTTACAAATGTTTCCTTATCCTGACTCATGCTTATTGCTTATATCCCTTCTCCTTTTGATGGTTCCTTTTGATCCTATTCAATTCCCTGAAGAGATCACATAATCACTCACCAAGAGTTGCCTCCCTTATTCTCACCAAAACAGTCCAACGTGACCTGAGCTTAGCTCTTATCACTGTCTCTTTCATCGCCCTAGCTGACGGTCGAGCGGTCTTATGGGTCCTCTTTGCGGCACATATCCTTTGCTTTTCGGCCTTATAATCTAAATTAGTGGCCATGAATTGTATTTAGATTCATTTTAGATTCATCACGATGTATTATATCATGTAAATTTTCACTAAACTCTGTGCATTTACACTCTGTTGCAGGTGGGTGTTTACCAGTGGTGCCATGTCAACAGTGCAGATTTTGTCAGTCTGCAGCTGATCCACACCCTTTTTGCCCCTCTAGCTGCCTTCATTCGTGCTCTTTATTAGCACGTAAATATTGTGCTCATTTATCAACAGATTTGTTTAATAAGTATTTATTAGCATGTTTACGCAAGTTATCAGATGAACAAAAATGTATCAACAAGGCAGTGGCTGTGAGGGGTGATTTCCAGGCAACAGAGAGTGAGATGTCACAGCGCACTATGGAGAATTCCCCCGAGATTTCTCCCATCTGTCGTCTTACACTAAGACTTGACAACGGTATAAGAATCCATACCGAAACGTCGCATCATATATAATAAAGAAGTTGTTATCCATAAATATTCTTACTTTCTTATCGTCTTACAGAGACAGCCACGCAATCTACTTCTAAGAGGAAGTCACCTCATAAGGAAGAGACTGAACTACAACATTTGGCGACGAAAAAGAGAGCGTCTAGATTATCTAAGAAATCTACATCTGTGAGATCTGCGTCATCTACTCAATCTACTAGACTGTCGAATGCTCCTACATCGTTCAAGAACGCCTTGTCATATCTTGACAGATCACCACCGGTTCTAGAACCGCAGATCATCTTGACGACATCATAGAAGACATCTACTAGTACTCCTGTAGAATGCGCGAACCACAGTTCGCAGAAGCGTTCCTCAAAGGCGTCCTCATCGAAAAGGAAACATTCGTCTCATCGCAGATTGTCATCTCTGACGTCAGGGTCCGAGAACCTCACTACTGATGATCAGCGCACTTTGCCACGAACGTCTTGTTCTACTACCGTATCCACACAGTTCGCGAAAGGGTCCGCAAATCAGTCGACTGTGGCTTTACAGACGGAAAGAGAATTATCATCCGAGGAAGAGTTCGCAAACTCTCAACAACGGAGATCTTCATCTCATCGTAATTCGTTGAACCAAGCTGTGGATCAGGATTTTGTGGCTAGCATTACACACCAAGTAGTCTTGGCTATGCAACAAAAGTCATCAGAGAATCAACATTCGAGTACTCAGCCTACACCTACGGCATCTATCACTGAGCCCATCTACCGACACTGTGCGCAAACCCCCAGGCCTGCGCGAATCTACGCCGATTAGATCTACACCTGAAGGCTACTTTCGCGGATGAACACCTTCGCGAAGGGCTCCACAGTCGGACGACTCTGTCATCTTGGAGGATAGAAGAGATGATGCACATACTCCTCAGTCTACGTTCGCGAACCCTCAGCGTTTGCGAACCTTCAGCGTTCGCGAACATCGAAGGATCCTGCTCCTACAGCTAGCCAGCACAGATGTTCGCGAAGGTACTCACCTCAAGCCAGACTTTCGTCGAAGGGATAACTCACCTCACAGAGGTTCACGAAGAGATGTATCCACAGATAGAGGTTCGCGGACAGAACACTCTCAAGATAGATGTTTGCACAGGGAGGAATCCTCAGATACAGGTTCGCGAAGGCAGGATGAAGGTTTGTGAAGGGATACAGGTTCGCGCAGGGATGAATCATCGAGACATAGCTCTCATAATCAGGAGACTTCGGACTTAGTAACGGACTTCGCCTTCCCAGACTCAGAAGTTACAGTATGGATTGCTAATGGGTTGAACTTGGAGTCTCCTTCTAAGGATAAAGATGAAGTCTACACTTATATGATGCGTAACGATGACTTCGACTCCATCCCTCCGATTGAACCTTTATCCAAGATACCTTCTAACCTACGCACAGCTTTGAGAAAGCTACAGGGCAGATAACAGCAACATAGACATCTACAGGGTTCGCGAACCCTAGGGTTAGCAAACCCTTACATCAACATGCAGGATGTTGACGTTGACTCTATTACCATACGTCTGAATAAACGAAGCAATGATGGAAACAGATGAGGTCTTATACTGGGTAGCAGATGGCATGCGGATATTGTCGTTCACTCACTCACTCCAACCCAACAGAGACGTACTGCATATACGCTGATGACTTCGACTCCAATATGATATCACTTATGAAGCCGATATCTCAAGTACTGGAGAACCTTAAGATGACCTTTGGAAAGGGCTTAAGGTTAACATCGCCTTTAAGCATACTTGAACGGACGTACAGATGATTGTATCAATACTCGTCACTCAGCGTGGGGATTAGGAATTATATCCTATCAACTAGATCCATACAGACATACGTCTCGACAGCTTCCTTCCTCATGCTCGGAATAAGTGATTCATATCACTAAACAAGATTTACACTTGGAGCAACCCTTAGTCAGGAGACTTATATGAGCGGCGTAGGATTATGCACGCTCTTACTCACAGATTTTATGGAGGCCAACTGGCTACAACACTGGTGATGTCATGCTTGAAGCTGATTGGTCCACGTCAGACAACGCCTCCCACTGACAGAGCAGGCTCCAGCATGTTTTCTCATTGTAAACAAACCCGTGGTACGGGGGAATACTTCATCGGCAGCCTTTGAAACAGTAGACAACTACAGCCTGTTATCATCATGAAAATCTAATAGATGTCTAGCCTTTACAGCAGGATAAACGATGTTTATTTTGGAAGTTGTCGCTGATAGAAGTCGGTATGCGCATCTCAACGATCAAGTGGCGTCGGGAAAGTGGTCCAAAATGGAACAACAGCTTCATATCAATCTGCTAGAGATGAAAGCAGTGATGTCATGCTTGAAGCTGATTGGTCCACGTCAGACAACGCCTCCCACTGACAGAGCAGGCTCCAGCATGTTTTCTCATTGTAAACAAACCCGTGGTAGGGGGGAATACTTCATCGGCAGCCTTTGAAACAGTAGACAACTACAGCCTGTTATCATCATGAAAATCTAATAGATGTCTAGCCTTTACAGCAGGATAAACGATGTTTATTTTGGAAGTTGTTGCTGATAGAAGTCGGTATGCGCATCTCAACGATCAAGTGGCGTCGGGAAAGTGGTCCAAAATGGAACAACAGCTTCATATCAATCTGCTAGAGATGAAAGCAGTGATCAACGCCTTCAACTATGGTCGAGTTTGCTGAACAACAAGATGCTGATGATCCACACGGACAACTCCATAAGGCGTTCTCCATAAACCGGCAAGGATCCACAAGATCTCCAAGCCTGTTGCAGCTCACATTCCAGTTGTTCCAGATCACGCAGGAAGAAAACATCTGGATAAAGGCGTGTCACATACCCGGAGCCAAGAACGTACTGGCAGACGCTCTCTCAAGACCACTACACCCGTCACCTACGGAATGGATGCTCCATCCAGAAGCGTTTCGGAACATAAGGGAGATAGTATACCCCACGATATACCTGTTTGATCCTCAAGCCTGGGCAACAGATGCAGGTTCAATAAACAACTACAGATGTTTGTCATAAACCCAGTAATCAAGTTACCAGACCTAATAGAAGAACCTGCTTATACATCCGCACACCAAGCAAGTCCACGGAATCCCAGCAGTGTTCCAACTACACGTGTGGACCGTATCAAAATGTGTTTGAAAAAAAGAGGATACTCCGCCAGAGCAGCCAAAGCAGTAACTCTAGCGCTCCTAGAGCTTCCAACCCACACGAAGTCAGAGCACTGGCGTCAACACTAGCTCTACACGGAAATTGCTCTATACCGACAATTTTGGAGGGCTGCTTTTGGAAGTCGGACATGGTGTTTGCCAACCACTACCTCTGAGACATAGACACTGAAGACGTCTCAGGCATTCACCAATTTGGGCCTCTCGTTGTAGCACAGCAACTAACGGTTCCTCAAAGGCGCTGAAATGTCACCCTTTATCATGTCGACTTGCAGATGACTTTTACTAGGAAAAGTATTAGTTTGAAAGTCCATGCGCACAGTCTAGGACAGACTAGCATGAGTGATTAAGATCCTGTGTGGGTAATAACCTTACCTGCACATAAAGGGAACGCAACTCATTTATGATAAAGATCTTATCATAATCTATGGGTTGTTATAAGATATCTAGTTACAGGAGAATAGTTTATCTATAACCACACGAATCAACATGATTCAACTTGTCTGAGATTGAAGTAAGACAAGAAGTGGTCCCCCCGAGTTACAACGAAAGTTGGAAGAATAGGACCACGGAAATGTCGTTCGCAGTTCCCATGGGGGGGATACAGGACGTATCTAAGGACAGCTGTTGAATCCAGTGGCTTGACCCACCACCTTTCCGACGGATTCTATAAGCAAAAGATCATGAATCAGAATAAGGAAATATATGTAATTTTTTAAGTAAAATTGATATTTTATACTTATCCTGACTCATGACGAAGAAGCCCTCCCAACCTCCCCGTTGAAGACACTTGAGATTTCACTGCAGATCCAAGTGCATGGGCAGAAAAACAGGAGAGAGTGACAAGTAAGGCACGTCACATGACTGGTTTGCGCGGGAATGGGCAAAGGGAGGTAACTCGTGGGTGAGTGTATTTGTACGTCCGCGTCGGGAACTTCAAGGGATTCAAGTGTTCCACTACCATTCGAAGAGGAAAGGGAGATAAGCAAAAGATCATGAGTCAGGATAAGCATAAAATATCAATTTTACTTAAAACATTACATTTTCCTTCTGCCTCCTCAGGTGACTTCCTGACTGCTGTGTGTGAGACATTGATGTCATGTACTTGGGGATCCACACCGATGCTGTTCCTGTGCCGGGCACTGGCTAATATCCCACCAACACCCATCCTTACTTCACGCATACTAACACTCATCAAGTAAGTTACTTACTCTATTTGCCCTGTCATTAGTGTAAAATCTGTTAAGATTTCTAGATTTCTCATTTTAGCAAAAAATGAAGACCTTTTGCGTGTATTATGTTCTTGTTCATCCAGGGATATGTTGACAACACTGATGACAACCATGGAGCCTCTACAGAAGGGTGCTATTCAGTGCTTCCTGCTCCAGACTCTCGTACACCTGACTGACAAGGTAGGTCCCAACACCGTCACCTGACCTGCTCCAGACTCTTGTACACCTGACTGACAAGGTAGGTCCCAACACCGTCACTTGACCTGCTCCAGGCCCTCTTACACCTGACTGACAAGGTAGGTCCCAACACCGTCACTCGACCTGCTCCAGACTCTCGTACACCTGACTCACAAGGTAGGTCCCAACACTGTCACTTGACCTGCTCCAGACTCTCGTACACCTGACTGATAAGGTAGGTCCCAACACCGTCACTCGACCTGCTCCAGACTCTCGTACACCTGACTGTCGTCCAGACCCTCTTACACCTGACTCACAAGGTAGGTCCCAACATTGTCACTCGACCTGCTCCAGACTCTTGTACACCTGACTGACAAGGTAGGTCCCAACACCGTCACTCGACCTGCTCCAGACCCTCGTAGACCTGACTGGCAAGGTAGGTCCTAACACCGTCACTCGACCTGCTCCAGACTCTCATACACCTGACAAGGTAGGTCCCAACACCGTCACTTGACCTGCTCCAGGCCCTCTTACACCTGACTGACAAGGTAGGTCCCAACACCGTCACTCGACCTGCTCCAGACTCTCGTACACCTGACTCACAAGGTAGGTCCCAACACTGTCACTTGACCTGCTCCAGACTCTCGTACACCTGACTGACAAGGTAGGTCCCAACACCGTCACTCGACCTGCTCCAGACTCTCGTACACCTGACTGTCGTACACCTGACTCACAAGGTAGGTCCCAACATTGTCACTCGACCTGCTCCAGACTCTTGTACACCTGACTGACAAGGTAGGTCCCAACACCGTCACTCGACCTGCTCCAGACCCTCGTAGACCTGACTGGCAAGGTAGGTCCTAACACCGTGACTCGACCTGTTCCAGACTCTCATACACCTGACTGACAAGGTAGGTCCCAACACCGTAACTCGACCTGCTCCAGACTCTTGTACACCTGACTGACAAGGTAGGTCCCAACACCGTCACTCGACCTGCTCCAGACTCGTGTACACCTGACTCACAAGGTAGGTCCCAACACCGTCACTCGACCTGTTCCAGACTCTCGTACACCTGACTGACAAGGTAGGCCCCAACACTGTCACTCGACCTGCTCCAGACCCTCGTACATCTGCCTGGCAGATAGGTCCTTACACTATCACTCTAGGCCATCATACATCTGAGTGACAAGGTAGGTCATGAGATTATCTCTCTGGTGACAACGTAGGTCATAACACTACCTCTCCAGTGACAAGGTCATTCATAACACTATTTCTCCAGTGACAAGGTAGGTCATAACACTACCTCTCCAGTGACAAGATAGGTCATAACACTACCTCTCCAGTGAGAAGATAGGTCATAACACTACCTCTCCAGTGACAAGGTAGGTCATAACACTATCTCTCCAGTGACAAGGTGCCCCAATGTCCTAATGTCTGAGGTAATTGTTGGGTTGAATCATATCACTGAAGCCGTACATTGGAATTAGAAGTAGTTTGATAGATCGATCAACACCAATAAACTCTGTCTCCTTTGTCCATATAGACACAAGTAACAGTGGAGGACTTGGCATCCATCCTTGCTGTATTTGAGCGCAGTGAGAGCATACAAAGGGGAACAACTCAGTGGGTGGAGGCTAGTGCATGGCTCCAGGAGGCTGTGACAGAGACGGAGGGACAGTGGAGCAAGGCGTATGTCCGCCAAATGGTCAACAGCATGGTCCAGGACTTCCTGACTGACCCTGGAGGTACTGTTGAATGCACACCAATGCATGTTGTTCATCACATGATAGTACTTGAAACAGTATAAGAACTCTTTATTTTGTTGTAATCAGCATGCTGATTGTTTATCACGTGATTGTACTTGAAACAATATTGCTTGGGATTGTCTCCATATAGCTGGAATGTTGCTGAGTGCGGCTTATCTAAAACTAAACTCACTCATTGTTTGGGATTGATCCTGCTACGACCTTTGGTGGTCACATGACCTGTTTATTTTTTGTCCCCAGCCGCAGCGCGGAACGGGGGACTATATATTCAGCAGCATCCATACGTCCGTCTGTCTGTCCCGATTCTTCGGACGTCCGTACATACGTCCTGATTCTTGTTAACGTAATATCTCATGAACTGTTGTACCCAATGTCTTCAAATTTGGTGACATCTTACATTGGGGAATTACGCAGACACCAGTCCATTTTGGTGACCTTGACCTTATTTTCAAGGTCACCATGACACTTTGACCACTTTTCAAACTCTTGTTAGCACGATATCTCATGCACTGTTGTACCCAATGTCTTCAAATTTGGTGACAGCCTACATTAGGTAATTACGCCAACACCAGTTGATTTGTGTGACTTTGATCTTATCTTCAAGGTCACCATGACACTTTGACCACTTTTCAAACTTATGTAAACGCGATATCTCATAAAACATTGCACCAAATGTCTTCAATTATATTTGTGATCACTGCAGTGTTATGATTTGTTCACATTCGGAACCCAAGGGATTTCAGGGTTATAATGTATTGACTTGCTGGCTGGTGTGTTAACATATGAGATGGACATGGATTGTTGATCGTCTGTAGTCTAGTGTTTCTGCATGATGCAGTATTTGTGTGGAATGACTGACACTCCAATGTCTTTAGTGTACTACTTATAGAGAAATTGTTAACAAGTGTGAACTTCACATGGGATTGTCTTTTGGTTTTCCTTCCCTACCCTTGAAATGACCTTTCTGATCTATTGTACTATTCCAAAAGATTCAAGCGAGCTACATTACATTATGTTTAAATTGTTACTTGCAGAATCAGGAATGTTCAACTCTTTGATGCTGACGAAGATTGTCCGTCTGCTTGTCATTGCCATTGATGCTGGCATATTCAAACAAATCCAACCAGAAGGTGGTATTGGCCTTGACCTCATCTTAGGTCAGATCACAGATGTCATCAGAAATATTAACTCCCATCCCTATATGACAAATGTCAAAGCTGACCGTGCTGTCAGCCTTCTGGCTACCTTGGCAACGGAACACACCAGTGGTGAGTCAGACATTTTTGAACATGTTTGAGATGAAGATCAGGGATTTATGTTGTGTACTTTTGGACTTTAAGAACTAGTCACTTTTGCATTTTGGTCCTTTACCTATAAAAAAAATACAATAACATTTTTCATTGCAGTTTCAGAAAGTGATGGTGTGTTTGACCGGTTTGTACAGGAGGCAGTGACTGGGTGCTGGCAGGAACTCTTGGTATATATTGGAAACAGAGCCACACAGGACCTCACGGAGGTGAATTAAGTCTTTTTCAGTAGAGATCTGTCTTGAGGTACATGTGTGCATTTTCTGCTGCTGAAAATGTCCTATGACAGTTGTAATAATTCTTTTGTGGTAGAAATGGTAAAACGTAAATGTTAACAGTAGCGTAATTTGGGGCATGGCAGCTTGGGAAATTAACCGTAATGGATTTATCTGTACCTGAAAGTCTTGTATCCATTGTTTCACCTATGCGGGGGTCCTTTGGAAGTGGTTCGTTTGGGAGGATATTATACAAATATAAAAGCATTCCCTGTGCTGTCACTCATGTGTGGAACTTTCTGTCTCCCTATTGGCTTGGTAGACCACATGGCGAGGGTCTGTGCGGCCATATTGGTGTAAAGGTATGTGACTGGGGCACGTGATTTGCCGATTGCCTTGGCAAGGACATTCCATGACGATTCCCATTGTTCCATGGTCAAGGTCAATTCCCTGCATGACTATTTAAGTGACCTGGCTTTCTGTGTCAGTTGTCTTGTTGCGGTGATCCGAACAGGTACCATACCGACATCGATAGGGACCTGAGGTCTTGACACCAACACCTTTCCTTGTTACTTAGGGCTTTGTAGTTATAGTGGGTTGGAAAAACAAAGTATCTATAATGAGATAATGTTAGGTCGGTAAGGGGGGGAACTAGTGTAGGAATGAATGTGTTTAGTGTTAGGAATTAAAGGGGATAACCAATAAAACAATACTTTTTCAAGATACATTTAAGAAATACAGTTTGCTCTACCACCATGTATAGTGTAATAAAGCCCACTTTCACCCTGAACTATTATAACGTTAAAGCACGCTTTATTACACTATACATGGTGGTAGAGCGAACTGTATTTCTTTTCTAAGATGCCAAATTTAATACTTTCTAAGGATAATTATGATTATTTTTCCTTATCCTGACTCATGCTTATTGCTTGTCTTCTTCTTCTTGAGAACAAAGTGGAACACGTGTATCTCCCAATTGAAGTTCCCTTCAATTAAAAAATCTCTAATTAGTACTCACCACGAGTTACCTCCCTTCCACAAGCGCGGGAATGAGGGCGCCACCTCCACCCATGTGCCTCACTCTCTCCTTTCGCCCAGTGGGCTGGACGTGAGAGCACCTGTGTCTCCCAACACACTATATCCTTTATTTATATTTAGTTTAGTACCTCTTATATTCAGTTATAGAGGTGTAACTAGTATCCTTATTCAACTTGCATTGATTATTAGTCGTGTTTCTGCTGTTTTATTCACGGTTCGCTGTGTTTGTTCAACAGTTTACGTTAATGAGAATCTGCACAGGTTGTAAACTACGTTATTCCGCTACCGATCCACATTTAAAATGCCCTAGTTGCATTACTCCATGTTCTATTGTTTCTCGTTGTAAATTATGTATTAATTTACCAATTTCTGCCTTTGATAAATATTTATGTTCCGTTTTGAGACGGAAGGCAGATAAATCTCGTAAACAATCTTCAGTCATGGCTAATAGATCGGAAGCTATTATACCCTGTCAACTGTTGACTGACGACTCGCCACCGGCTGGTGGCCTGCCGGAGTTTCCCTTGGGGGATAAGCGTGGGACGCAGTCCGCTATGTCCAAGAAGCGATCTGCATCTCAAGACATTCCGTCTTCACAGTCTAAGACTAGGAAAGCATCCACATCATCTCAGCGTACGCTTCGAACCCCTAGGTCCACAGCTTCGTCAAAAGGGAAATCTATGAAAGCTACAAATAATTTTGCCTCCGATATTCTACCTGTCTCAGAATTATGTTTATATGATGATGACATTCCCGATTATCATTCCAGATGTACGTCATAAGAAACGTCCAGTATCTGCTACCGTCACTACAGCACAGATCAACACGCAACCAGAGTTGCCTACGCTGACGCCTGAGTTTATGATTGAGGGTCCCGTCACTTTCACAGAGAGGCCACCCTCAACGCCAGCGCAGACTGTCCCAGACGACCTGGTCAACCAAATCATGAGGCTGATGGAAGACCGTTACGGTTTACAGAGGCCCCAGAGCCACGGGCCCCAGAGCCCAACCCTTAATAAGTCATACAGGGCCCCAGAGCCCGCCTTGGCTTCGCGTAGGGCCCCAGAGCCCACAAACGCGCCTCCACGAAGGGCAACCCATCACGTAGCGATCACTTCGCAAAGGAAGTCCCAGGCCGCCTCTGCGAAGGAGCTAGAACCTCTCCAGTTGCGAGGGACATCGTGGAGAAGGAGCGCTTTGCCGAGCCCACACCCTGTAGAACACAGAGGTCGTTCGCGAAGCAAGCGCTCATATGTCGATTCGGACACTGACTCGATACATTCGCGAAGGTCGCGAAGGCTAAGTGGCTCCATATCTACCTCGCCCAGAAGATTTAGAAGAGCTTCGCGAAGTCCCCAGCGTTCGCCGAGGATGTCTCCTCCAAGGTCTCCTTACACTAGCCACTCGTCAGTCCGTTCACCACAGTCCTCTCATAGATCTTCCTACAGATCTAGGACTCCGACATGTGACCCTACATCAGAGGAAGAAGGTATAATTTTCTCAGATGCTGAGATTAGATACTGGATGGTGAATGAGTTACAACTTGCTTCCCCATCGAAGAACGAGAATTCAACTCAGACTTACCTGATGAAGGATGATGATGTAGACAATATCACCTTACCTCCTATTGACCCGATTGCAGCGGTACCAGCTAATCTGGATACAGCCTGTTCCAAATCTTCGAAAGTCCAATCTACACATTTCCCGGTCTTCAATGCCAAGAAATTTGCTGGACACAATATGGACCCCTTTTTTCAAGGCCCAGGATATTGATGACAACTTTAAATTAATCAGCGATGCCAAGTCCAGAAGTTACAAAGTAGACGATCGCAAATTCGCTCAACTAGATACCATCGCCAGGAGAATGTTCTTTGGATTGAATAGATCTAGAACGATTAATGAAACTCTCATCACCAAGTTCAAGAATTCTACAGAGGAGGAAGATAGAATGATCTACTCAGCTCTACTCATGCAGAAAAGAGACCACCAATTTCTTACAGAGCACCTGTCAGCGCTTACTGAAACTACTACCATGGCTCGTTGGCAAGGCTTACTAGCCTCCTGCTCTTGGGATAAGCAATTTACAGAATCTCTATACACGGCTCCATGGTCATCGCCCTTACTGTTTGGTGGCAACATAGACAAGGTCTCCAAAGAAGTATCTAAAGACTCGAGAGAGGTTCATATGATCAGATCCATGGATACCTTAGCGAACGTCATTAAACAGTCAAGTTTTCGGGGCTACAGAAAGCACGGGACAAGAAATTAGCTGCAGCTAAAGATCCCAAGGATTCTTTTCGTTTCGCCCATACAACAAATTTAGGGGAGGATCAGCTAGAGGCAGATCATCCAGAGGTGCCCGTGGATTTAGACGATGAAATTCAGGTTCGGAACGACTGGAGTCTTCCACCCCCAGCCGTTCCAGTACAACTGTCTCAAGTGGGTGGACGCCTTCAGCTACACTGGGAAAACTGGGGAATACTACAAGATCTATATGTATCCAACATCCTACAGCAAGGATATCTAATACAACTCAAGGCCAAGCCTCCGTTAACAGTCAACCCCACAGGGTTCAACGTTCAACCGGCACAACTACCTATGTTAAGAGAAACAGTACTTACTCTACTAAACAAACAGGCCTTAGAAGTTCTGGATCAACGAAACATCATACCAGGTTTCTACTCCCCAGTTTTCCTAGTGCCGAAGAAAAACTCCAAGGAGAAGTGCAGGAGATGAGCATCTTCAACAGAGAATATCTATGCAAACCACCAACGTTTCGCATGATACACTAACCGCAACTTCGGCATTTAATTCGTCCCAAAGATTACATGGCCAGCATAGATTTGCAAGATGCATATCTACACATTCCGATTCATCCCAACTCAAGGAAATATCTAAGATTTATCCTAGACGGGAAACATTACCAATGGAAGGTTCTTCCCTTCGGAATCACATCGGCCCCTTGGGTATTCACAAGAGTGACCAAGCCTATGGTCTCATACCTACATCGTCAAGGTCTTCGCAGCGCTTTTTACCTAGATGACGGTATACAAGTGGATCCAGATCCACAGCGTCTCAGACTACAGCTGAACTTTATAATCAAGCTACTAACACAATTAGGATGGTTAGTAAATCTACTCAAGTCGGACCTAGAACCAACGCAGGATCTGCAATTTCTAGGTATACGATTTCTAACAGCTCAGAATCGTATTGTAGTCCCGAGGACAGATGGATCAAGATCCAACAACTTATTCCTCAAGCCCTACTCTCTCCGTTACCACTCACGACAGTGGCAGAGCCTATTGGGACTACTCACATCAGCTCAAGACTTGACAGTCAGAGGCAGGCTTCAATTACGTCCGTTACAAGTCTTCATCAATGCTCATCTCGAGGACCCTCTACCATTTAGTCTACAAGATTATGTCAAACCACATCTACTCTGGTGGACCAAGAGATTGAATGTTTGCAGGGCGCCTCCTTAGTAGAGCCGAATCGAACACACATCTCTACGTGACGCCGTTGGTCACTACAAGGTTGGGGAGCCCACCTTGCTGGCAGGACAGCGCCAGTCCTATGGATCAATCAAGAGAGCAAATGTCACATAAATCTGCTAGAGATGCAAGCAGTCATAAACGCCATAAGTCACTGGAGCAACATACTACAGAACGCTCAGTTGATGGTTCACACAGACAATTCAACAGTGGCGTTTTATGTGAACAAACAAGGTTCAACAAGGTCACAGAACCTACTGACTCAATGTTTCAGACTGTTCGATTTAATCGACAATCTAAACATAAACGTCAGAGCTTGCCACATTCCAGGAGCAAAGAATGTATTAGCAGACGCTCTCTCTCGGCCACACCAACCGTCGCCGACAGAATGGATGCTCCACACAGAGATATTCAATCAAATAATCATGGAAATAGGATCTCCACTGATAGACCCTTTTCGCCACT